ATAGGAACTGGTGAAGTTGCGGAAAATTTGAAAATTTTTTGGGGCAAGGTGGGATAATTCATTTGGGGACCACGGTTTTTGATTTTCTTTTTTCGTCACGCAGCAAGTTACAAAACGTAAATATAATTCTTCTTAGTGTCTTTCCAGACGCCACCGATGCCTTTTCCGATACCTCTATTGTTTAATACAGCAGTAAAAGATATATGTGCCATCAACACTTTTGAAAAATTGCGTAACATTTTATTTAGCGAAGTATAATGTTGACATTTCGGCTTTAGAAGACTATTGTTTTCCGCAACTATATCTGATATGTCTCTATATGAAGTATTAAAGTTGTTTACCCGCTGACCACTCGTATTTCGGTCTTTTCTTCATCGCCCACTCGTTGCCCGTGATGTAGTAACTCCCTTCTCGATCGGTGACTCATGAGATTGCGTTAGTACTTTGCCTTTTCTATTAAGATATTGCCTCTGTCTTTAGACACAATGAGCAACACAAAGAAAGAAAATACTAGGAAAACAACACCATTATTCAAGTATGGTGAAAGAAGTAAGTGAAACTGTTTTTTATTTATGCAAAGTTCCAAGTTCATTTCACACGTGAAGATGCGTTCGTTGTCAGAATACAAGTCCCAAAGTTTGTTGCATTTCAATGGCTAAATAAGCTTATAGAATGATCTGTTTCCATAAGTTATGTAAACGTTTCCTTAATCTGAGTTTGCAGACTCCCTTGTGCTAATGCACTATAAAAGAAACCTAAACAGTTCTCAAATGGAAAGTAGGGGCAACATAATAAAATAATTATACCTTCGTTAATTAAAAACGCACCATATCTGCATCATGCTCTCTTTCTTAATTGTTCTAAAAAGTCGAGATCACCGTGATTCGATTTTTAATTTTGGTGTATGAGAATTATTTGTTTCTCGTTTTAGGATACTTTCTGGTGGAATTTATTGAGGACAATGTTAAGTTTATTGTCGATGAAACCGAACTGAGAAAGGAAGACAATACAACTTCAGCATTGCACCTAGACAAAAATTACTACCCATGTGTGGTTCTGAGCGAGAGTGGTGAGTTTCTGCCAATATGTTTCGTTTATAATTCGTTTAGCCGTTTATATTTTGTCATAATTACTATTCGCAACAGTCAATTCATGTAAAGGTTCAGCCAAAACAGTTTCCTGCATATTTGTTTAATGCATCCCACGTCGTGGGTAAAAAGGGGTTATACTTGCTAGTCAAAAAGAGATGATAATACTGAAATTGCATGCAACTAAAATAAAATAACTGTAATGCACACTCATGTTCAACACAGGCAACAAGTATGACTTGCATGCAAATCTTCAAGCCTTTGGGCCACAAATAAAGAATACAATAACAAGTGATTGTATCTAATGTGTTTAACAACTCCTATAATGGGCTGCTAACTTTTGAAAACAGGAGCCCTAAAAATTTTCTTAGGCAACAGCCTTGTCAGTGGAAGGAGCATATATATGGAAATTGATCAACCTGTCATTAATGAACATATATTTTGATGCTTGCAGATGATTGAACTGTCACTAGGAAGATGTATTTACATCTATGACAGCCATCTTACCAAGGCATATGCAAAGAAAACAGCAACGGCAACAGCTTGTTTTCTGCTAAGCTGTTTTTTCAGAGATGATGAGCTTGTAAGGAGGAGTCTTGGAGGAAAAAATGGAAAACAGTGTGTTGATACAGACATTCTTGAGAGCATCTTGAGTAAGTATAATCATAACTTAACAATTATACTTATTACAATAATAAAAATGTTTACACTGCAGGAACCAGTCTTCGAAAGGAGAGCTTAATTCAGTGAATTGCGAATTCTTAAAAATTTTGACAGAACAATTTTTTTCCCAATAAATTCAGATGCATTTATAGAAGTTGTCTATAACATGGTTTTGAAGTGCAAGAATTAACATATACAGAAACAGTAAGATGTTGATCAATGATCAGCATTTTAATACTGCTTTTACGTATAATACTGTACAATTAGCATTTACAGCTGTCCACTAGCTTGTGTAAAACACAGTTAAGATGAAAAGCCTTTGATAGTGTCCCTAAAATAGCTTATTGCTTATAGGACTATATGCAATAAAAGTATAGAGAACTAAAGTATAGATTTTGAGATGGCAATGGCAACAGCAACCACAATAAGTTTACTTTTATTCCAGTAGTGCTTGTTACAAACTTTTCTCTTTTGTAGCATTTATCTTAAAATGTGTAAAGCCTTTATCATTATCATTAGTGGTTCAGGTATACTAAAAGCAGTTGCCATAATTCTGATCAGCCTTCCCATCTCAAAAATGTCTTTTCTAGCTGTCTAATTCTGAAAGTACTTACAACTTCACTGTTTTCTTTAAATAAACAAAACTTGAAAGTGGTATGGGATCAACAACAACAACAAAAAGTGGTGACTTACATGAAGTTAATAAAAAAAGTTTAAGTAATCTGTAAAAGTGGTTTCCCAAAGAAATTAGTCTCAGGGATCATATTTGGCTATGTTCTTGATATCATTAGCTTCTCTAAGCCTTCCCTATTCTTATTTCTTTGTAGGTTACACAAGAAAGAAGTTCCCAGACATGACATCTGATAGTGGGGTCGAAATAGCATTAAGGAACAGGATAACCAGTCTTGAAGCTAAGTTTAAAATAAAGACAGTCCAAGTCGTTGATTAATGAAAAATGTGCAAAAAGCTTCTTAAAACACCTGTTTAAAATCTATCTTAGAGACAGTGATGGAATTATGAATGACAATTTTTAATCTATATAATATATATTGTACATTAATTGCCAGAAACAAGAAGACAAGACAGTTAGTTTATTTCAGTTTAAAGAAATCATTACTGCACTGTTGCTGTGCATGATTATATATTATTAAACAATTAATTTATTTTTTATCAAATTCAATGAGTTCCAATTGATCAGAGTAAAGGTGCTTTTTTTTATAGTATTGTGAAAACCTCTTTTTCAGTCAGATTTGCTTTTTTCTGAGTGTACATTTGTATTGCACGAGTCATGTTTATACACTGATAACAATAAATACGTTACCTTTATAGATTAAGCCTGTGTTTCAATTATATTTATTTATACATGTATGCATGAAGTATACTTAAGGTATACTTTAAGTAGACTTCCTTTTAAGCATACTTCAAGTATACTTCCGTTAAGGTATACTTCCGTTAAGGTATACTTCCGTTAAGGTATACTTCCGTTAAGGTGTACTTCCGTTAAGATATACTTCCGTTAAGGTATACTTCCGTTAAGGTATAGTTCCGTTAAGGTATACTTTAAGTATACTTTTTAGGTGCCCTTAAAGTATACTTCTGGAAAGTATACTTCTGGTAAGTATACTTTAAGTACAAATGAAGTATACTTTTTAAAGTGTTGATCACTCATTTAAAGTATACTTTAAATGTACTGAATTTCCACAAGGGTATGCTTATAACTGTAACCAGGGAACTTTTAAAATACTCTGTAAGAGAAGGGATACCTATAACACTAATAAAGTGGGTATTCCCTTATATTTTAAGCTGAGAGTACACAGACCATAGACCTTTTTCAGTCTCCCATGTGTATGATTATAATGTGCTGTATATCATGTAGATAAATACATTGTGTTCCATGCAAATTGAGAAATACTCCACATAAGAAGGGATACCCAAATAACTAGGGATTAAGGTATTTTCTCATCGTTTAAGCACTATTGGAAAAAGAAGAACTACCGGTACCTTTATACTTTCCCCTTACGGACACACTGAACATGGTTGCAATCTAATGTGTACCCTAGGAACTGCCAAAATATTCTACAACAGAAGGAATACCTCATTATATCACCAGGGATAAGAGTATCTCCTTCAATTTTAGACTGAGCTTTAAAGTGGACAAACAGTGGTGCTTTCCCATCTTCCAGTTACATGACTGTAATCTTCTGTATATAGTAATTATAACTATACTGCAAACGCCAACTCCACAAAGGAATGGGTTCCCAGTTCACAAGAGATTTAGGTATACCTTACTCTTTTAATGAATGTGTACTTAATAGCAATAAATACAAGGCACAACATGTACATTGACATGCAACATGTTTTATATTAAAATACAGATGAATAATAACAATTATAATAACTTTATTTACTGAAGGGGAACACATTACAGTTAAGAACTAGTAAACTTGTGGCCCTCCCTCTCTTGAATGCAATATACTGTTTGCTATGTCAATTCATGATCAGTCACTTGAAGACCAAAATCTGCTGACTTATTCCGATCAACTCCATGGAAAGAATATTTGAACTCGTGATTCTTTCACTCTTTGCAAACTGCGTTCAAATTATTTTGGTATTGCACGACATCACAATAAAATTTGGTACCTGAAAATGAAGAATTCAAGATATTTTTAGTAAACAAAGTTATAACAATAATGGTAATTGAACTGAGTGGAGTGCAATTTGGGCTAAAATCATACGTGTGATTTGAAATCACAAGTATGATTTTAGACCAAAATTGCATTGCACAAGGTTCAATTACCACTTTATAACTTCCATTTTGAAATCGCCCAAATACAGGACTCGGTCAGTTCAAATATTTTATTGGTGCAGTACTGAGCTAGTTTGAAATTACATTCATCTATTTTTTTTTTGGGGGGGGGGGGGGG